CCGCCCTGAGCAGACTCCAAACAGAAAGCTCACCCCGTCCGTCAAAATAGGATGCTTCAGCAAGTGTGGCTGGAGAGATAACGCCGGCGCTACAAAACAGCCTGAACAGAGTGAAAACACTGGCCCTATGTCACAGGGCAGCGCAGATGCTGCCGTGCTTGCAGGGAGACGCTGAAAGGGCCACAAATGTGGACCCTGATGAGGTCAGAACACAGACACCTTCAGGTGGGAAGCTAAGCAGAGAAGCCTTGATTTTTCCAAGGTGTCAGCATTATTAAGTACTAATCAGAAATAATCTTTGTCACTAGTGGATGGCCCACTCCCACCTACCAAATGCCTCTTTCTAAATCAGGGATGTTACTGGTCTGAATTCATTTACAGGGACCCCCAGAGCTAGTCCTCCTGTTGTGACTAGCAGAAAAATAAGACGATTTCTAGAAGGGCATCATTTACTATAAGGAGGACCAAGGTTCCACGCGATCCAGTGCTTAAGGGCTGACAGCCTCCTGGTTTTCTCCAGGGCTGCTTTTTGCCACTGGACTCGCCAGCTTGGAGTTCGGAACAGGTGTCAGCTGTCCAAACGAGGTCCTCAGTCCTGGCAGTCTGCTCACTAAGAGCACCCCCGGGCCTCTCAGCAAAGGCACGAGCCACTCTCAGGTGCTGGAATGCCCTTCGCACACATCAGACGCATATACACACCCCCACTCACATATGTCGGAGCCTGAGCAGGCCCCCGCTTCAGAAAGGATGCTGGTCACGCACGAGGCCCCACCCTGGTCTTCATCCCTCACTGACCCTTCCCCGTGGAGTTCACACTCACATGGCAGGGGGCTGGCCTCTAGGTCTGAGCATGACAGCGGGCCCAGTGGGCCCTCTGACAATAATATAAATGCTGCTAAGAACAGAAATTTGAGTAAGTGGGCAGAGTCGGGGTGAAGGGGTGGGATCAAAGTGAAAGGACAAAACCACGGGTGGCACCTGTTTCTGCACCCACGGCCCCTCGGGAGGCCAAGCTGCCTTGTCTTCTAGGTGTTCCCACAGGTGGGGAGCCACACCAGGCGCACCTGCAGCTCGCTGGGGCCATCGCCATTAAGTCAGTGCTCGCCGAGTCATGCGTCGTTGCCATCAGGCATCGCAAAGACGCCTTTTATTTATTCCCTGTTACAGTTTCAAATTTTAATTGGAGCTCCAGCCCCCTGCCCCTCTCAGATTTTCTCTGCAGTCCTTTGGTTGCTTTACGCTTATTCTCAACAACAATAATAATGATAATAATGTTCACTGGACGGGGAATCAAAAACGCCCTGTGTTCCAGGGTGAGGGCTGACTCCCCAGGTGAGTGATTATTGCTGAGCTGGCCACGATGACTGAAGCTCCTGTCATTCTTTCAGCTACATGAGTGCCTACAGTGTTCCCAGTGCTGTTCTAGTGCTGAGACAGAGCAAGACACACAGGTCTCTGCCCGCGTAGGGTTTATGTCCTAGCCGACACTTTCCTGCCATCCCTTCGTGGTGTTAACTCTTGCCCCCCACAGAGGCAGAGCCAGAACTTGAGAGGCAAGGACTTTTGTTGATGGCAGAGCCCTGCACTGCCCGCTCTGCCACCCACAACCTCACGTGGCTGCTGAGCACCAGAAATGGGGCAAACCCAAATTCAGATGCTCTGTGCACCGGATTTCAGGGACTCAGCACAAGGAACAAAAAGTAAAACCTCTCATTAATATTTTTATACTGATTACAAATTGAAATGATTTTTGATGTGATGGGTTAAAAAATTAAAATTATCTTCCCCTGTTTATGTTTACTTTTGAATGTGACTACTGGAAACCTAACTGTGGCCCTCCCGTTTCTACTGGACGGCGCCAGTCTGTTGTCCTTCTGATGATGAGGAGACTGAAGCCTGAAGCAGTCAAGGTGCTGCCGGGACCAGAACCCAGGTGTCCTCACAGCCAAGGCAGCTGCACAGCAGGGGGCAGGGCAGGATCTGGGCTGCAAAGGGCCTGGGCACGGGGGTGGGAGGGGGGCGGGGGGGCCCAGGCCAGCACTGGGCCGCACACTGGTGCTCGGTGAGTGTCCTCCGGCTTCTCTGCTCTGGACCTGCGCCTCTGCTGTGACCGCCTTACAGTCCCCCACGTGAGTGACAGGCCTGGCCACAGCCTTGCAGAGTCAGCTGGCGGTGGGGGTCCTCACGCCCACCTCTCCACCATCACAAGCACAGGTCGGGGATAAATAAACAGGGCATGTTTGGGGTGAGGGGCGGGCAGCCAGGTGAGGCAGAGGGCTGCCCCTTCTCTGATCCTCCCGAGGGCTAAGCAAGGTGACGACAGCAGCTATGTCAACACGAAGGAGTAGGAGCAGCTCATGATTCATGGATAATGTTCTCACAGGTGTTTCCAGGGAGCTCATAGAGAGAGAGAGAGGGAGAGATGGGACTTTTTGTGTTCACCCAGCTGGAGATTTGAAAGAAGCAGAAACTAAGGCACAAAGCAGAACTGCAAAGACATCCTGAAGAGGCGAGGCACAGGGCGAGGGGATCCTCAGACGGGGCGGCTCAGAAGCCACGGGCAAGGGCCCAAGGCTGGCCTGAAGGACGGTGAGGAAGGAGCAGCATTAATTCAATCAACGATTTGAGTATGTGAACCGTGAAGCGAGGCAGGGCAGCGGGGAGGCCCCCTCCCAGGGGAGGCTGAGAATACGCAGAGGCCAGCAAGGCTGAGGTCCTGACATGACCCTCAGCCTCTTCTAGCAGGACAGGCAGAGCCTGCAAGTCCCGAAGGTGCTATTGCAGGAGCTTGGGGCGTAGCACTGGCCGCAGGCAGGGAGAGGAGCTGACTATGGTTCCCGTCAAGCTGCTGTCTGTAGGGCCCTAAACCAGGTCAGTGGTGGCAGTGGAAAACAAAAAGTTAAAAAGACAAAGACTCAGCAGAACTGGCCACGGAGTGCACGTGGAGCGAGAACGGCTGATCAAGCCCAGTGAGGGAGGCCGGTGCTGGGTGGCTGGGCAGGGTGGGCGGGGCTGGGAGGCAGCAGGGTATCTGCTTGAGGGGTTTCAGCTGTGGGCCAATTAGTGGTCCCTGCCCCTCAGTTCCAAAGCCTCCATTTAGAAAAAGGCCCGGAATCCACCCTGCATTTTCAGCTAGGAGCTTTTGATCCCCAAAGCTCTGGCACCATGACCCACCAGGACCACACCTACTTAAAGGAGCCCTGCCCCCCCCGAAGAATGGCAGCAGAGCGCTGCGTCCACTCAACCTCTGTGTGACAGGCCCTGCTCTGCGCACTGGGGAGGTGGCGGTGAGCACACACCCCTGCTGCCGGGCTCACATGCTGGTCGCTTAGACAAGCGGACTGTGCCGGGAGGACCCTCGGAAGCTGCCCCAGCCCTGCCTGCATCAGAGCCCTTCCCGGAGCCTCCTCAGCACCTGGCACACACGGCTGCCTAGGAAGCACTTAACCCCTCACTGACTCCATCCCTGTGATCCCAGAAACAAACATGTAAAGCAGGTCAGTGACCAAGACCCCAAAGGCCCAGAGACTACAAACACCCCACAGGGAGAGTCAGCACCAGCAATTGCTTCTTCGTACTGGTTTCTAGTGTTGCTCCAGGAAGTGCTGCAAACACTTCTCCAGCAGGCTACAGGGGACAGCTGTCCAAAATGCTACAAATTCTGAACAATTCATCAGGCTGTTACTTACAGAGTTGGATTATACAAAGATGCTTCCTCTAAACCATTTAAACTACAAATAGGAGCTTCCTTATAACGCATGCAGGGACAGAATAAAGAAGTCTGAGGCCAGAAGTCCCACAAGCAGCACAAGCGATCGCCCCCACTGCTGCTCCCAGGTGGCCGTAAACAGGTGCACATCTCTGCCCACAGGTGTCTGCTTCATCAGAATACAGCGTATGCCAATTTCTCACAGCCAAAACACCCAGGTGGCAGGACACGTTCTCCTACATCGCCTTGTTTCTTCAGTGACAATGACACAAAAAAGCAATAGACCTTACCTAACCAGAGTAATGTTTTATCCCAACTAACACCTCAGACTCTGCATTGCTTCCCCTAATCTGCCCCCCCACGCACGCGCGCGCGCGCACACACACACACACACACACACACACACACAAAACACACCTAAAAAATAAGATACAGCCAAGAGTCTGGTGTGAAACCCAAACACAAGCAAAACTCTCAAAACTAGCCTTGGGCTTCCACAACTTCTCTCAGTAACACAAAAAAGGTTTAGCAAATCCATTCAGAGCTCATAGCCTGTCATTCTTCAGTGACTGGCCCCATGCACACAGCACATCGAAGAGGAAGACCGGGTACCACTTACTTGAGCAGTTAAACAAATGTCACTTCCTAATTCAGGATCGAATGAGCCTGGTTACTGGCACTGGCAGAACAAGGGCACGACAGTCCCAAGTTATCTTTACTGCCGGGCAGTTCCTTGGACTTTCAGAAGGACGAGGACTTCTGTTCTCTGGTGGGTAGTGCAGAATGTCCACAATCCACTCCAGCCTTGAACGCTGGGAATGCGGGATGCGGGCTAAGGGGAGGGCTAAGGGGAGGGCTGCTGGGGGAGGGCTGCTGGGGGAGGGGCTGTGGGAGGAGCTTCTGCGACTAGGGATGGGATTTCGGGAGCTACTGCTGCTCAGGCTGGAGAGTGGAACTGAGCAGGGGGAGTCACTGGTGCTGGGCTAAATCAAGTTCATCTGACAGTTACCCCAGTGAGATCTCGCAATACCAGGTGGGCATGGTGGGAGAAAGGTCACGTATAAAGTGTGTCGCTGTTAGCTCTACAGTCACACACTAACGTTCCTTATGAAATTAGGGAACTTTGTTTTGGGTAGTAATTTAGAAGCCTCCTGGCAAAAGTTGTTTTTTTTTTTTTTAATATTATGGGACTCTCCCCACAGCTACCCGAACAATCATATACAACATCATCAAAGCTCCTTTCTAAAAACTCCTTATTGAGAATAAGTGTATTCTAAAGATACAGGTGTACCTTAAAACATAAGGTTTCAGTTATCTCAAGTAAAAGCGTGACTCCAGGGATATTAAGTTTTCCATCTTCACAAACAACAATGGCAAAGGACAGAATTCCTGCTGGTCCAGCTCAGACCGCTTCCCTGAAAGCGAAGAGAAAAGTCAGCACTCTCCAGTCCCCACCCCACCCCCTCCAACAGCAGGGTCTCCAGTGCCTGTCTCGTCCTGCCCCCCATTACCTCTGGGGATTTAAGACTCAGCCAGCACAATCCTTGGTAAGCGCTCCTACCACCCTCACCTTGCTTCCTTGCTCTGATCCTTGCCAAGTTACACATGTTGAAAGGTTAGTGGAGCCAACAATGGCCACCCTCATCCCCCCTGAAAGACAGCTGGGCCAAGCCCAGAGTCGGCTTCAGGAGGATTTAATAATCTTAACTTCACTTTCTGAGGAGGTTCAGGCTCCTAACCCACCTATCCTGAATAGCAGTTGTCACAATACAAATGATTACACAGTCTTCACAAACGCTTACAGTAGTCAGTGCACTTTAAGCACTGCGTTGTTTGCGTGTTGTAACTGCCTTAAAAACAAACAAATAAAAGTTAAAAAGCAGCAGGGCTCTACTTAAGGACGCGGGCGGCCCTGCAGGAGCCTTCCTCGCACCAACAGCACGGGGGGCAAGGGGCTGAGCCGATTCCTCCCTCCCTCGGCGGCTAGCCCTAATAGCCAGTTCTAGTGAGGATGGGTGAAGTCCCCCCTCGCTTCGAGGTAGCGCCGTTTTGTTTTGCCGCCCGCCGGCGCTGTGTTGAGGTCTGCAGGCTACCACCTGTCTTCTCACATCACCCATCTTCGACTCCCCTCCAAACCTTCGCGATCCGAACTGCGACACCTCCCGGGGCAGCGGCGCCTCTGAGCCACCCGCGGCACCGCTGGCCGAGTCAACTGACTGTCAGGCTTTTAGTCTACTCTGTAAGCAAGTTTCATTTCTGAAAGGGGCGGAACCAGGTCGCAGAAACCATAATCCCGAGAAGTTTCCGAGAGAAGCGCAGCACACAAGTCACTCGCTTAGGTCACTTTGCTGCTTATGGTGTCCACAGTCTGGTGTGAGTCCAAGAAAAGTGAGCGATCTCCGCCCGAGCCCTGGCACGCAGCCCGAGGAGCGCCCCTCCCCTGTCCGGCCTGATATCAGCCCCGGACCGGACCGCTGCGTCTCCAACTGCGCCTCCCCAAACCGCCGCATTCGAATTCGCGCTGCGCGGGCCAGAGAGGGTGTACGTGCGGGTGGGAGCGCAGGTGCAAGCCCGGGAAACCGAAAGCGAGGAGGGGTGGCGGACCCCAAGAAGTGGCCAAAGGCTCCCTTCACGTACGCTTCGGCCTCCCCCACGGTGCCGGCCAGCGCGCAGCCCTTGGGACGCGCATCAGGAACTCGCTGAAGTTTGCCAAGCCTGGCCGAAGTCTCTGGAAAGTTGCAGCTCCCTCTAGGAGCGTCTCGCCTGGCCCACAGGAGCGGAGAGTGGAAGGAGGTGACACTGAGGGAGTTGTGGGGGAAGGGAGCACCTGGTCCCCTCACCTGGCCGCACCACCCTTCACGCCTCCGAGCCCCCACTGGGCTCAGCGAGGACTCGAGCTCCGCTCCGCAGGGACAGACCCCCGAGGGTAGAGCGCGCAGCTCTCTGGCTCCGCCGCATCTTTGAAGTCTTTGAAGGAGGGGACCCTGGACTCACCTGGGCGGTGGAAGAGGAGATGACAGAGTGCGGTCCTTGGCGTGGGCAGCCCCCAGCAGGAGCAGCACGGTCACTACAGCCCCCAAGCAGCTGCACCGAGTGAGCCGCAAGGCCACCGCCCCCCCTCGTTCTTATACCGCCTGACCACGCCCCCGTCCTCCACCCCCGCCCCCGCCCCCGCCCCTAAGCCTGCCTCTCGGGGGAGCAAGGGGCAGGGCAGGGCGGAGCCAGCGCCCGCGGGATCCTTCCGCCTGGACGCTGACGGTAAGGGCACGGCGAAAGGTGCCCTCTGATTGGCTCCTTAGGTGAATGGTTGCCGAGAGACGAGTAAATCTTCGGGTGAGGGAAGGGGCGGGAGTACTAAACGTGGTAGCATTGCGCAGGCGCAATAGAGAGGGGCTCCGTGGATACCCCCTTAACTTTGGAGTTACTGGGACTCCCTCTTTTTCTACTTTTCACTACGCTCTTTTCTGCCGTTCCTATCACATAACTTACCCCCAAGCTTTTACCATCTCTATTCCTCTCCCCCACAGACTTGCTTTTCTTTTTTCTGTTTCTCTGGAAGTTTCGCGTTGGTTCTCTCCGGGAATGAGGAGTGAAACCCCCACGCCTACATCTGGAGGGTGTTTTGAACTCGGAAAAAATTATGGTTTCTGAGCTGCGGGAACCTTCCTGATTCCCCAAACTGGCTGGAGGTCATTGGGAAAGGAGTCAACCAGCTGTGTGCAGTCAGTGGGACCAGGGGCCTCACGGAATCCATCCCCAAGGCTGACAACCGCCACAGCTTCAGCCCTCTGCAGAACGTCACAGGGTCAACCGTGCCTGTTATATAACATGGGGGCGGGGCTTGGACACCACCCACTCATTCCATAGCAAGTGGTTTAGAGTACTGTTTCTAAATTCAGATAACCTGGCCTGGGATTTCCATTCATCACCTGACTATCTGTAAGGCTTTGGGCGACTAACTTAACCAACCCTCCATAAATCTCCATCTCCTCACCTGTACGGTGGGACTAAAAATGGAACAGCTTTGTAGGGTTATGTAAGTATTAAATAAGAACAGGGAAAGCTATTAGTGCAGTGCCTAATATAAGGTGTGAGGTGAATGTTATGTCAAACAGTAACTTATTTATCAATAAACATTTATTGAGCTTGTTCTGATTCTCTACTGAAAGGTGGGAGAAAAGATTACTTCCCACATGCGCTATTTCCATGCCCCACCCCTTCCATTCTGCCTGAAATAAATATGGTTTTCAGTGTCTGCCAGGATAATAAGAGTTCTCATATGCCTTCGCTGGAGAGGGGGAAGTTCCTGGAACATCAAGGAGATAAAAGATCGGAATGAGTGCTTGCAGCAAAAGCTACAGTGATATTCTATTGTTGGACACCCAATCAGGATATATGGTCTGATTTTTTTTTTTGTTTTACTTTTCTTTTTAGGTATAAATTCAGTAAAGTGCACAAAGGTAATGTGTACAGAATGATGAATTTCTACATATGTGTACACCCATGTAACTGTCACCCAGATCAAGACATTGACAATCTCCAGCTTCCTCATGCCCCTTCCCATTCAGTGTCCCAGAGGGCAACCAGTGTTCTGACCTCTATCGCCAGAGATTAGTTTTACCAATATTTGAACTTGATATGGATACATTACATAATGCGTGTACTTTTGTGTCTGGCTTCTTACCCTCAATAGTGTGTCTATGAAGTTCATCCATGTTGTGCATGAAACAATGGTTCATTCTTCCCCAGTACTGTGTATTATTTCATTATATAAATTTTCAATAATTTATATACTCGTTCTACTGGTGGATGTTTGGGTTGTATCAAGTTTTTGCCTATCACAAAAGAAGCCTCTTACAAATTATCTTTATCCAGTTTTATTGAGGTGTATTTGACAAATAAAAATTGTGTATATTTAAAGTATACTACAAGATTTTTTGCTATACAGAGTGAAATGATCACCACCACCAACCTAATTAACACATCCATCACTGCACAGTTACCTTTTGTGTGTCTATGTGGTAAGAATGCTTAGTACCAACCCTCTTCATAAATTTCAAGTGTACGGGTCTGACAGGAGCAAGGCCTGCTTGTGTGTAGTGGTAGGGTAATAATATGGGTGTAATAATTTTTAGTTTTAATTTGAACATTGTACTTAAAATGTCATATGGTGTGCTTGAGTGTGATATTGTTATGTTACAGAATCACATGCTTATGATTTTGTAATCAAAGATTTTTATAATAAAAAAGGGGCATTATTTGTGCTGGGCTCTGTATAACAGTGTTTTTAGCTATAACCACCATGCTGTGTAGTAGGTCTCCAGAATTTATTCATCCTATGTATATGCCCAAGATTGGAATTGCAGGATCATAGAGTATGCATACATTAAGCTGTAAAGAGACTGCCAAAGAGTTTTCCAAAGTGGTATAACAATTTATATTCCAGCCATTTATATTCCAGCCAATGCTATGAGATTGTCAGTTGCTCCACAACTTTGCCTGTGTTGGTATTGTCAGTCCGTTCACTTTAAAAAGGGGTAGGGGGTGTATATCCCTGCCTGGTATGGCTCAGTTAACTGGAGCATTGTCCCATAACCAAAAGGTTGTGGGTTCAATCCCCAGTCAGGCACATACCAGAGGCAACCAATTGGTGTTTCTCTCTCATATCTCTCTCTCTCTCTCTCTCTCTCTCAAAGCAATGAAAAGATGTCTTCAGTGAGGGTAAATAAAAATAAAAAGGAAGGTGTGTATTTCATTGTGACTTACATGTACATTTCTCTAATAATCAATACTGTTAAGCAACTTTTCATATGCTTATTGGCCACTTTGATATCCTTTTAGTGAAGTGGCTGTTTAAGTCTTTTGCCCATTTTCAGGGAGTTGTCTGATCTTTACATATTCTGCGTAGGAGTCCTTTGTCCAATACGTGTATTACAAATATCTTCTCTCAGTCTGTGGCTTTCTTTTCGTTCTCTTAATGTTGTCTTTTGATAAACAGAAATTCTGAATTTTAAAGAAATCTAATTTATTCATCTTATTTTTATGAGTAGTGTTTGTGTGTGTGTGTCCTCTTCAAGAAATCTTTGCCCAGCCTAAGGCCATGGAGGTCATCTCCTTAGTTTTGTTCTAGCAACTTGTTTTAGCCTTCACATACAGGTCTGTAAGTCGTCTCAAATTAAATTAATTTTTTGCGCAGTTTGGGGTCAAAATTTATTTTTCCCACATGGATGTACAATTAGCTCAGTACCATTAGCAAGTGGTTTTGTTGAATGAATTGCTGAAAAATTCAGTTAAGAGAGCGAAGTGACTGGTTACTTAAAATCCAGATTGTCCATAAAAATCCAGCATACATGATCACATTAAAATTAACATAAATTTTTATATTACATTGGCCCTTGAACTCTCTCTACTTCTTCAGTACCTCATGGATACCATGAGCACAGGTAGCCTCAGGGTAGAATGCAGGTCAGAAATTCTTACCTAGAAACTGGTCTAGCATGGTTTGGTTCTACTTTTCTTAGGTGAAATTTTGTCCAGCTTCCTTACCTGGCAATTTCGTGGTAGGCAGGAGGGGCTAGCCAAGAGCTAGAAAAGAAATTCATTATTCATATGGGCGTATACATTTTTCTTTGGGCCCCTTTTTTTATTTCTGGGACATGACTTGACTTTTCTAGAATTTTGTTTCCATTTTTAAAAATACACAGTGTTCTTTCTACCTCATAAAACTGCGTCAGCCCGGAGCCAGAAGGAGCCTCAGGAAGTCGCCATGTACTGCCCACAGGTCATGGAACCACGTATTGAAACCATCCTCCTGAGATTATCGGAGCCTCCTCCTTGCCAAATTCCAGCCTCTGCTGGAGCACATCCAATCACAATGGTTTCAAGACCATTGCATTCCGAGCGATTCTCTGCTCTGTACCTAGGGTGGCCGAAGAAGAAAAGCTGAAGCAAAGGCAGGAAATAGTCTTTAAAATGTAGCTTGTCCCTCGCTTGTGGCCATGACCCTGAAAAAAGTTCTACATCTCAATCGAATCTTATTTTAAATATTCAGGGAAGCAAAGAATTTCTATCACTAACCATTTTTGTAAGGCGAGAAAAAAAATTCCATTGCTTACTGTCCAGTTATCCTCCTCGACCAGTTTCTGTACGTCAGGAGTTTTTGTATTAGTCTGTCTCAAAGTGGATCACTGTGATTAGACACTTACTAAAATACCATGTTCTAAATACCTTATCTTTCTTAAAATGGTTTTTAAGCAAAGTTTTTATTGCTGCCTATTGACATATAAAGAAGGGCACACACATCAAGAGAGCACACCGCTCAATGAGTCCTCACAAACTGAACCAACCTGTGTCACTAGCATCCAGATCCAGAAACAGAGGCACCACGCACCTGCCGGCCTGTTTACAGCCACCGCGGTGGCACTGTCTTCATTCCAGTGAGTCTCCGGTGGGGCCGAGGCAGGACCTGGCTTTCCGCTTCCCATCTAGAACTCCCGCTAATAAATCCCCATCTCTTCTTGGGCTTCTTCCAGCCACTGGTTTGGGAGTGAAAAGGTGTAAGTTTTACTTGGAGCAAAGCACAGGAAGAAAGAACCAAGGACTGGTCAGACCTGACGGGGAGGGGAGGGGGAGGGGGGCTGCATCTTTGGGGACAGTTTTATGGCAGCAGAGACGCTGGGGCACCAGGGCATGAGGAGGGGAGCAAGACTGGGGCCCAGAAAGGGGGATGGCGAGATGGGGCCCTGCCAGAGAGAAGAGGGTGGGTGCCAAAGGTGGGTGCGCTGACTTCGTGAGTGACGCCGCTAGACCCCCTTCCTGCCCACCTCCCCAAGGGCGCTCCTGGAGGACGCAGGTTGGGTCAGTTGCCTTGTATCCCTGTCAAATGACTTCCCCGGTCTGAGTCTCAGCTTCCTTATCCCAAAATGGGAATTGCCATCAGCTTTGGGAGGTGCGTGCTGGTCAAACGA